ATATATATTTATTTATTTGGATAGCGACTGTAGTTATTTTTGCCGACCGGAAAAATATGTTAAAAGCCCTTTAAAAAATTCGTGTGTGAAAGCCAATTGTGAACTTAAAATAAAAGCTAAATAATTATAATCAGGTCACTTATAAGATAATCACAAATAATATTTATGACAAATATTACTATATATGTATATTAGTAATTTGATAAAAATGGTGACCAACCTGCTGTAATGTGTTAATTATACTTTATAAACAAATTTACAATGTCAATATATATATAACTTAAATCCTATTATAATTTTATTTGATTTGTTCAAAGTTGGAAGTTTAGTCACCTTAAATGATTTGGAATATTTTATTATGTATAAACACCTAAACAAGAACCAGTTTTGACGATTTTTGATTAATATATTAATGCTCCTAATATATTTAGGAGTTTGAACTGATCAAGCTCAAAATTAGTTGCTTCTAAATTTCAGAATTGGTGTTGCGACCGTGTACAAGTGGAAATGGGAAAACGAAAATACCAAAATACAAATTGTAGAAAACAATATTATCTTCCTCAAGTACATTATTTATGAAAAATACATTTAAGCATGTATCGAGATAGATAAATGTTTAGGTCTATTTGATCGATATTATAATTCTATTAAACGTCAAGTGATCCTAAGAAAATGCTACTCGGTCGTGGTGCCAAATTTATAAAAGACAATATCAGATCATTGGCTTCAAAAGTCATTGAAAGTACAGAAGGGGATGAATTATTTATTTTTATATTTTAATCACTACAGGTTGACTAGTTTTTCAATTAGTCGACTAGATGTAATAACGAGATAATAATAAGAGCAGAATTTAAGATGCATCAGTAAAGTGCAGGAATTAAAGACACCGAAATTTTTATACTGGTTCAGATTCAATGTGAATCCTAGTCTAGTCATCTTGGGTTGCAAGGGAGTTCTCTTTCAGTGAATGAGTTTCTCGAGTAGAACGTGAATGGTGTGGTTTACACCAATGGCTCAGTTTCTATGTCACTCGTTTCTTATTGATACAATGTCTCACCTGTATTTTTCTCTCTTTCTTCTCTAACTTGTTACACAACAGATCTAGTAGAGCTACAATGTTTGTTTGCAGTAGAACAAAGAAAGGATATTTTTTTTGATCAAAGTATATGTGTCTAAGGCTTAAGGATGTGTATAAATACTTTGTAGGAGGTCGTTACTGAAGAGATTTATCAATCCAAGAGATTTGATCCTTGGAGAGAAATTGATTCTTTCCAAAAATAAGGTTATTTGTCATTGCTCTTCCTTGATGAGAGGACTTTAATAGCTTTCCTTCTACAGGTCTTGATAGCACCGGATTTTCTCCTTGATTTTTGGTCCTTCCAGTAATAGCAGCTTGATTGATCATCTTGCAAGATCTTCGATGCTTCTTTTCAGCTTCAATCAATCTCTGATTGATTTCCTTGCCGGATCTTTGGTTGTTTGATTTATTCCTTCCTTTTGAATTCTTCGATCTTGGATGCTTTCCTTGAGTCCCTATACCAAAAGTAATTATATTAATTTTCATCATTAAAACTAAAACCTAACAATCTTCCCCTTTTTGGTGATGACAAAATAATATATGTAAACATCAGTTGACTTCTCTGTATTTTACCCCCCTTAATGAGTGCAATTGACTCTCTCTCAATAGGTGCTTCCTATAGTCGACTGCTTATGCAGGATCTCTGGCTCCCCCTCAAGAGGTGTCGTTAGGACTTCTTTTAGTCAGTTTCTCCTGTAATATCTATAGTCGACTTCCCCGTGCAATGGATGTACCTGCACAAATATACATATCCTTTCTCCCCCTTTTTGGCATCAGCAAAGAGGAGATAAGATAACAACACACTATATACTAAAACACGGTTTATAGCATGATATGCTTGCAGAGTTATGGCAAAACAAAACATATTGTCTAAAAAGCACAAAAAAAAAATCTCCAACGACTGGTTATCCAGTCCAAAATAGCAGCAAAAAATATTTTCTTAAACTTCCACATTAACGACGCAAGAAATAAGTAAGAGTGTTGAAAATTGCTTCCTTTGGTCGATCAAAGCTGGCATTGGCTGAGACAATCACTCCATCAAGTCTGTTGTGTACCTCCTTGAATGCCTTGACTGCATTTTCCCTAACTCTGAGAACTGCAACTCTTATCTTTGAAACATCAGACCCTGTTTTTTTTTTGGAGATTGCATGAATATATCCAACAATGGACTGAGTAGCAGTAAGAAGATCTTTGATGGCGGACAGCTGATTGCAATGGCAACTAGTTTCTCAGCAAGGTCAGGGACACTGGAGTAAGATGGGAAACAGAGGGTTTGGATTTTGGATCAGGTTGAGCATGTTTGACCTCACCTTCCTGTTTCTTAACCCATGAGCCTTTCACACACATATATCCCATACTCGCAAATGCTCTAGAATTGTAAGAGTTTGAAACAGAGATGAAGGGATATTTAGAGATGGAAATATTATGAGATTCCAGAATGTGAGCGATGGCCATGCCATAAGGCAGACTGGTGGGATCATCAGCACTTTTAATCATAAAATTGATGACCCAGGAGGACAATTTGATCTTGAGTTTTGTCACAAGGCAATAAACAAGAAAGGTGTCTCTTTGAGAGAAGGTGGAGAAAGAGCTAGTACGAGCAAGTAGATTAGTTGCAACAATGTGGGCTAGAATACGAGTTTCAAAGCTAACATCACTTGGACCTAACTGATTTGGGAGAGATTCAGATGGACACTCAGTAATACACCGTTTTGTTTGATCAAAAGTGATTTCAAAATCATCAAGTCAGGAATTTTTAAAAAGAATGGGAAAACCAGAATACTTACACTGAAAAATTGAATCAAACATGGCACAATCAAGAACAATGCGCTTTTCTAACACTAAGGATTCCAACTTATCAGACTTACTAGAGCGAAGATTTGCATAAAACATTTTCACTGAGGGTTCATAGACTTTAGGATGAGGAACAGAAAAGAATTTAGACCAGCCCTGATGAACAAACAGATCTTTCACCTTACAATTTAGGGCTTCCATGTCATCAAGATCGACTACCCTCCCATGAGCAATTCACTTGTCTTTCAAAGCAATGAAAAAATCCCTAGTTGGAGAATCCCAGAAATTGAATCAGAAATTTGGTTCATCCATATGTCTTTTTCCGGGGGTTTTTTCTCCTAAAGTATGAGAATGATCTAAGAGGTCCACCTGAGAGTAGGCAAAACATTACGAATGGTCGGACCCTAGGTCTACTTGTTCTGTAGGTTGAGATGGGGTTTTGTTATGAACGAGTACTCTTCCTGGTGGAAGTAGAAGGATTTTTTGAGTGTTTGGACATAGAAGAGCTTTTGGTAAGAGAAAGTTTTTTTTGGAGAGGATTTCTAGGCGATGGGGATGAAGGAGACTGAAAAGGGTTTTCAGGTATTAAAAGAAGAATTTCTGACGGTTGAGTATAGAAAAGGAAAGGGTGTCAGTTGAAAGGACGTAATGATTGGTTTTCCTTCTTTGAACTCTGTAACTGATGTGAAAAGAGAGGAAAAGAGAGGGAATTCGGAGGTGCAATTAATTATCAAAAAAATAACAAAGTTTGAAAATTAGGCATATAAAAAGTAATAGTAACACATGGGTCCTAATTTTAATGATTAATGCAAGTAATACCAAATAATTCTCTTAAAAAGCAAAATTTGTCCTCTAATATTGGCTTAGTAGAAATATCCGTTAATTGATCAGTAGTTCCAACAAAAGATAGTTCTATATTTCCCTTAAGAATATGATCTCTAATAAAATGATGCTTG